TCCAAGGTGTTACAATATCCAAAAAGAAAAGACATGAAAGCAATAAAAGAGTCTAGGTCCTCAAAATATGAGGACTCGCCAATCTTCAATATCTATATGGGATCACTGGCCACAAGTATGGGAGGTAGGAGCGTCGAACCATACATTAGTGAAACAATGTAGGAAAAAGTATGCGTCAGTACATTAAATGTACCAAGTATGATAGCAATGCATAAGAGTTATGAAATCATGCTAAAAGGAACATTAGATGACATGCAATGACCAAGCTAAATCATAAAATAACATGTTAGAAAACATAGGTCTTAACCATGGTCAATGCAAGATAAACATCTTTAAAACTCATTTGAGATACTTTTAGAAAGCAACCTTAGTTCATTATTGTGGGAGATTTACTTTTAACCGGCATAGACCATGTGAGCTATAACATGGAATCTGATATCTATCCCACACCGAAAAGAGATGTCCTTACTTGCCAATATAAGAACCATAAACTTCTAGCTTAGGTGGATTCATTAGCTAATGTCTATCTAAGACAAACCTATGGTGACATATAGTTATGGGATAGAGAGATTGCTACTAGAAACTAACCCGGCCTCAACTACGAAAGAGCTTCTATCTCAATATCCTCTTGGTGCTAAGATGGAATAGTCATTAATCTTAATGTATTTTGTTATCCATGAAAGGGCACATCAAGTGGCCAATCCAAGCTAGAATTCATTAGAATATCACCTTAACTTCGATTCATCTTAGGTGAGAAAAACTTTCACAACAACATCGATGTTTTACTCTCAAAGCAACCTTAAATCATTTTCATCAACTTCATAAAGAATCATGCATATCTTCATAAATTCATCTTTCATAGTTCAAAAACTTCATCATATGATCAGCATCTAGAAATCATGGATCATGCATGGGTTCAAGTGCATTCAACCCAAAAATATGTAATTATCTCAATTCATGCATAAAAAGACATAAAATAATCAATTAGATCATAATAAAAAAGAACCCATGAGATTGAATAAAACCCTCACTTCAATTGGAGATCCTAACTTGTAAAACTGGAGAATTTGGGAACCCTATGGAGGAAAGGACTCCATAGGTGAATACTATCATACCTTGAAGTCAAAAACCCACAATTAATGGTGAATTTGGAGACTTGATCTTGACATCCTGGACTTCTTCTTCAAGTTTTAGAGAGAGAAATATTGAGGAAAAACTTGATGAACTTTTGGGTTTTTAGGAGAATGCATTCAACTGAGAAATTTGGGGGCAAAAACATTTATATAGGGTCTAGGATAGAAGGTAAAACGACATAGTATTGGGTTATAATAATTAGGAGACCCATTACGGACCGTCCTGATAGTTAGTAAGTAGGGTTCAAAGACTTAAATTTGGACCAACGGGGCCCATGTACGGTTGGTAGGTCTACCTATGGACCGTACATGGCCACCGTAGGTCCTAAAAATTTTCCCAAAAGTTTTTCTCCATTTCCCTTCTACCTACGGATGCCATCTACGGTCATTAAATGCTTCTACCACAGGTCACACCTGCAACCCAAAACTACATTTTTCCATTTCTATCAAATCTGAGGTGTCACAATAGGGTTGTACCAAATGATTTTTAACTGTGCATAGGTGTTAAAGTCAATTATTTAGTGTGGAAAGATATTTGGATTAAATTAAGGTAATAATAATCCTCTAACACAAAATTGAGTTGAAAGTTTCCTTATCAGTTGATTTTCCATATAAAATGTTATAATGATCAACTTCAAACGACCATATCTCTTAGAATATGAAGAGTTAGGTGGACCATAACCTATCAAATTAAAGGTTTATGAAGCTTCTTTCTAACGTCGCCAAGTTTTTGTCATTTTGAATTTAGATTAGAGTTTTGATCATTTTACTAAATGATGCAATGAAATTTCGTATTGACCGATGGGAAAATTCTAAAAAAAAGTAATTTTTTTGTCGTCCTTATACCACTAGGAAAATCTTAAAATGATTTTCTCAATTCCTATCAAGCCCTAAACAATCATATTTCCATCTTTTAATTAATTCTTCTCCTCACTCAAACCCTAATACAAATTCTACGAAAAATCAAAGCATAAGACTTCCAAGCAAGATTCTTTCAAATATTTTTCAAGGAATTCCAAGAAACTATTTCATGAATCTCAAGAAAGAATTTCTTGATTGTTCTCTTCTAGTCAGGGTTCTTCTTCAAGATTCATGGAGTGTTTAAGGTATGTAAGATTATAAAAGTGAGAAACTTTGTTCCTCCTCACGCCCTACTCCTACAATATATGTTTTTAAGAACAAAGCTAGGGTTTTTACCCAACATTATATGATTTTGAATTCCCTTTATCTCCTATCATTGATTCTTGATTTTTATCATCAAAATTATGGTGCTTTATGTCATTAGTGAGTATTTATTCATGATTCATGCTTATTATACCACATGAACCCCTTTCTAATCAAAGTTATTTAAAAAGCTTGTAGTATTTCATATGCATTAATTTCACAAATAAAATATGTTCAAAATTTTAAAGAAGTCTTTCAAGAAAGAGTTCAAGGAAGTATATTTAGTTTTAAGCACATTATTTTCAAGAAGTATTTTAAGAAAGTATTATTATCTTTAATTTAAAATGCATGATTTTAGAAGAATTTCAATAAAGTATATTTTACTTCAAGTGCACTATTTTCAAGAAAGTATTCTTACATTTAATTTCAAGTGCAGTATTTAAGATGTATTTCAAGAGAGTATATTTTACTTCAAATAGATTTCACCCAAATCTAGAGTTTTATATTATTCTCCATGTGTTCAATTTATTGTGATTCAATTATTTATATTCAGTCTTACCATGCATGATTTAACTTAATTAGATGATTTTCTTTGGTTTAACATAAATCCATGTCTATGCCAATTTTATGAATATAAACTACGTTTATGAACTCGTGAATTATGGTTATGAATCTATGCATATTTTGTGAAAATGATGTTTTTGAGATAAGTATCAATGAATTGTGAAAGATTTCCTCACATATTATGAAATCATGGTTGTTAAAGGTTTTCTCACATATGTATGAATCATGATTTAAAGGAGCTACTCTTATAAGACTTGATGACTTGGATTGGTATTATGCTTATTGCCTTCTTTAATGTTATGTTTTGATAATTGATTGTATCTATTCCATTGGGATTTAACTTAGCACCGAGAGAACTTTGAGGTGGTGGCTCAAATAGGAAAGTCTCTAGTAGTAATCTCTAGTTCCAAACTACGTGACCCCGTAAGATTGTCTTAAATGACCTAGCTAGTGGATCCACATAGACCTTATGATATGATACAAAGTTCTACCAAAACAAGTAGACTCTCCCTTTTCGGTATGGAAGTTACATCAGACTCCATGTTATGGCTCAAATGATCTATTGTCGGTTAAATCTAATATCCCACAAAAGAACTATATTTCTTCAAAGGTTTTTATGACTTCCTCAAAGACTATAATTTAAGCGTATGTTATATTTTCAAAATATTGGTTTGACCTTACATTTATTTATTTCAATTTCAGATTCAGTTTAGCATCTCATATTCATCATGTCCAAATTTACAAATTATCATGCATATATCTCATATTTAGTACATTCAAAGTACCTAGTAACATACCTCTTATGCCTATATTTTTCATGTGATGTAGCTTCAGGTTCTTACTATCAGGATCCTAGTCAGCTGAATCGCATCTTTCGGTATGAGTTCTCTTATTTCGAGCACTCAAATCAGTTTGTAGTTCTAGTATGTTATTTCCATTCACATGTATTGATTAAGTTAAGTGGTCTCACTAACTAATCATTATTAGTAAAGGCTTCATACAATTTAAGTTACTAATCCAAGCTAAAAACATCATAAAATAGCTCATAAAACCTTGAATCAAATATAAGTGAGAAAACCTTTCACCAAAGCCATGATTCCTTAATGTGAGAAAACCTTTCACAATTTCATTTATTCCAGTCTAAAGCAACCTAGATCATAAAACTTTTTTCTTTCATGCTTCATGCATGAGTTTATGAAACAATCATTCATAGCTTCATAGATTCTTTATAATTTCATGCAAATTAGAGTTTATTGTCAAAATCATAGATTCATGCATGGGTTCACATGAAATTAGTTGAAAAGCATGCAATTGTGTTTAAAAACCATAATATGATTAAAATCAATCAATTAAATCCATACAAATAGAACTCATGAGGAATTGGATGAAAACCTAATTAGTTTATGGAAATAAACTTGGAGAAATTTTGGGGACTCAACGGGTAAAAGGAACCCATTGATGAACTCCTTACATACCTTGATCTTGAAGCCCTAAGAAATTGATCAAAAGAGAGACTTGAACTTGAAGAACCTTGATCTAGAGCGAGGGAATTTTGGGGAAAACCTTGGAGAGGGTTTGGGGATTTCGAATGAATGAGAGAGTTCGAGAACTTAGAATTAGGAGTAAAACTACATAGTATAAGAATTAGAAGTATAGGAAAAGACCCAAATACCCTTAAAATAACTATCAGATTGATCCTACGATTGCGACCTACGGTCCGTAGAAATTTATACAGTCATACTGATCAACCGTAGACCAAGTACTAAAGCCTAAAATATCATCCAACTTTGATAAGTCCTTTCTACGGCCCATAGGACCTCTTACAGTTCGTAGAACCAAACCGTAGAACTCAACTTTCAATTTAAAATTTCCTTAAGTCAAACACTTCTATAGGACCTTTCTACGGTCCGTCGATACTCCTATGGTTCCTCCTCTTCGTTTGTAGGTCAACTTCAGAAACTTATTTGTTTTCAAAAACTCATCTCCAAGTCTACGACTTTCTTACTACATTCTGTAGATTGGACACGTGAAACCTGCTTCAATCAATTTTTCTGCATTTTTTTCTTTTTGATTTTCTAACTTTTGAGGTGTTACAAGATCTCACCGTAAATCTAAATAGTCTCAACCGACTAGATCTGATCAACCACCCCAACAAACACCCTGACTAGGATCTGCATCAAAAAGATACAAAAGGTAAGAAAAGCCTCATCCCAACATCGGTTCTACCAATTTATATAAGAAAGGTGAGAGTCAAATAAACACGTAAGACTACAAATAATTTCTCATATCAACAGACAAATTACACAATAAACAAAGCTGGACAATACAATGCAATGAAATGATGAAATGATATGGTGGAATCAAGGTTGTCACACAACTTGTTGTATACACATTGCCGAGCTTTAGCTTTAAGAGAAGGACCCATAGGGAACTCGAAGTCCATATACCAATCTCACAATCTCAATATCACATCAACTTGCCACCTTTCTCGTGGTCAAGGATATATGTAAGGTGTGTCATTCCTATCTCAAAATACTTTTCCATGTCCTCAGATTCACATGATCAGTGGTGTGATGAATGAGAATGAATGCATCACAAGACATAAAATAGAGAGGCATAATCAATTCAACAGGATTTAAAGATTCCAAAGTTCCCAAAGTCAATAAATCATTAAATATAGCATGTTCATGATAGGAAAAAGCGGAAGAATTTATTTGAAATCATTTTTTACCATTTATAAAGCATAGCCTTCTTTTTAAGATGTGATAAAAAATCAGTTAAATCTCCTAACTCAAGCATCCCAAGTAAAAATGTTAAACAAGGCAACTCAACCCTCTCTCAAACAATTCTCAAATGTCACATGTTCTAAAAAACAATTAAAGACACCACATAAGGCCTCCACATAGGCTAAGCATTACAAATAAGCCTACACTAGGATAAATAATACAGTCTACACTTACCAACATCTCAATATCATGCTACCATCTCATTCCATAGTCGAATTCAAAAGAAATATGTCTCAACATACTCATCTATGAAGCCTATACTGTTAAATATAGGTGTCGAGACAAGATCCACGGCTATCTGAAGACTTTGTTAGCAGCAGTCTAAAAAATAGCTAAACTAGATAAAACTAGAGCTCTTCGAAAGAAAGAAGGTCTCACCAATGCTGAAAGGGGGAGATCCTAATAAAGCGTCTGCTATTGATCCTGAAATTCTAAATGTGCATTATTTAAAGATGTAGCACCGAATGACATCAATACATGAAATGTACGGTATATAACATAGATGAATGAAATAACTAGCTAAACTGAATATAGTGAACTAAAAGAGAAAATCTAAATGTAGATTATAAAGTAGTCAACTAAAAGTAAAGCTTGTATATATACTTTTAACAACAAATCTTTACAACTGAATATATATATATACGTGTGTGCATAAAATAATACAATTTAGTTTTCTCACTGAGTTTCTCTAATTAACAACTATCGTATGAGTCTCATGATGATACAACGTCTTGCCCATGTTGTCAGAGCCATCTTTTACCTTGCTAGGATAGAAGACAAGTTGAACTAATGGATCCAATGTTTGAATCCTTACTAGAGGTTTTTTGAGGAGCCACCAGAATCAACAGCATGATCATATCCCGCATTGGTGATCTAATTATGGGGTTTGAATTATCTAAATAGTTACCTGACTTAGTTCTCAATACTCTTTTCAAGACATGAATTGGTGCTCAATAACTGTAAAGATGTCCACTTTAGGAAAATGGTCCCACATTAGGGAAAATTAAATATCTAATACTTTGAGTCTATGCTCAATTGTACTGCTTTAGAGCTGAACTTTACTTTACTTTAAAAACTTGACTATGTTTTTCTGAAAATCTGACTAAGCTTTCCTCAAATATGAGACATACTTTCTTTAAATTGAACATGCATTGTTTAAGAAACTGTCTAGGCTTTCTATATGAAAATATGCATGAAAGCAAAATATTCTTTCTTGAAACTTTTCTTAAAATGTTTCTTTACATTCTTGAAATGTACCCTACTCATGAAAATAATGCATGAGAAATAATATGACAAGGTTTTTAAATAATTTTAGCTAAGAAAGGGCTATGACGTAGTAGAATAACATAAATCCTAAATCAATTAAAGATCATTAATAATATAAAGTATAATATTTTCAATAATAGAATCAACAATGGACCTATTCAAAATAAAAGAATTCAAAAACCATAAACTTTGGGGTGAAATCCCAGCTTTGATCTTACTAACTAAGGTTATAGTTCTAGGGCGTGAGGAAGAACTAAGTTTCTCACTACGATACTTACATACCTTATATGCGCCACAAATCTGATAAAGATCCCTAACTTGATGAAGAACGATTAAGAAATCCTTTATTTAGAATCTTGAATTTGCTTCTTGAAAATTTTATGGCTAACGGTAAAGATTTCAATTAACAATTCATGATTAGATGATGAAAATTGGTTTGCGAAATTGAACTATCTAGAGAAAGAGTTACCTTCTTCTGTTGCTGGAATGAAACGAAGCTTTGGAACAGAATTATGCTTCTTGCTAGGCCCTGATGGCGGAACTGGCATTTTGGGGGGGAAGAAAGCGGAGGAGAGAAAACCACTTCTAAGCCTTGAAAGAATGATTAAAAAGTAAAAACATTTGGATTAGAACGGACTTAAATGGCTTTCGTCGGCCCAGATGTGATCAGATTTACATCCTCGCAAGTGGAACTTGCAGCCACAACGACATACGTTGCCTCTCTTTATAAAAATGTCAGTTAAAACTAAAATTATCATAACTTTTGACACCAACCTCGGATTGAAGAGCGGATGATGAAGTTGGAAAGAGGACTCGAAAACCTTTACTTTAGTGGGTAATTAGATATATAAATATTCATAAAATGTGAGATAGGATTGTTTAAGGTTGACCCTTGCATGAACTCATGCGAAAAACTTAGCTAGTAGGAAGACCACATTCGATACACTTCCCACTCTTAGTCATGAACCTTAATAAACATGTAGAAGTAGGACATCACCCGGTCCATGATGATACACTTGTGATGAATTATTCGTATTCTTAGCATAGACCACGTGAGCTATAACGAGGAATCTGGTGTCTTGCTCCCACAATGAAAAGAGATATCATTTCTTGCCAAGGCAAGGACCATAAACTTATGGCTTAGGCAGATCCACTAGCTATATCATTGAAGACAACCTACAGGGGCACATAGTTAGGGACAAGGAGATTGTTACTAGAGACCCGATCTTTACTAATTAGAGACCCTTCATCTCAATATCCTCTCGTTGCTAAGTAAAATCTCAATGGAATAGTCAAAACATAAGCATATAATAATCCATGGGAAAGTACAATTTAAGTTACTAATCCAAACTAAAAACATCATAAAATAGCTCATAAAATCTTGAATCAAATATAAGTGAGAAAACCTTTCACCAAAACCATGATTCCTTAATGTGAGAAAAACTTTCACAATTTCATTGATTCAAGTCTAAAGCAACCTAGATCATAAAACTTTTTTCTTTCATAATTCATGCATGAGTTCATGAAACAATCATTCATAGCTTCATAGATTCTTTATAATTTCATGCAAATTAGAGTTTATTGTCAAAATCATAGATACATGCATGGGTTCACATGAAATTAGTTGGAAAGCATGCAATTGTGTTTAAAAACCATAATATGATTAAAATCAATCAATTAAATCTATACAAATAGAACCCATGGGGAATTGGATGAAAACCTAACTAGTTTATGGAAATAAAATTAGAGAAACTTTGGGGACTCAATGGATGAATGGAACTCATTGATGAACTCCTTACATACCTTGATCTTGAAGCCCTAAGAAATTGATCAAAAAAGAGACTTGAACTTGAAGAACCTTGATCTAGCGAGAGGGGATTTTGGAGAAAATCTTGGAGAGGGTTTGGGGATTTTGATTGAATGAGAGAGTTCGAGAACTTTCAAAGGGTGAAGGATAGTTATAGGGCTAAGAATTAGGAGTAAAACTACATAGTATAAGAATTAGAAGTATAGGAAAAGACCCAAATACCCTTAAAATAACTATCGGATTGATCCTACTATTGCGACCTACGGTCAGTAGGAATTTATACAGTCGTACTGATCAACCGTAGACCAAGTACTAAAGCCTATAATATCATGCAACTTTGATAAGTCCTTTCTACGGCCCATAGCACCTATTACAGTCCGTAGAACCAAACCGTAGAACTCAACTTTCAATTCAAAATTTCCCTAAGTCTGGAACACTTCTATGGGACCTTTCTACGGTCCGTCGAAACTCTTATGGTTCCTCCTGTTCGTTCGTAGGTCAACTTCAGAAACTTATTTTTTTTCAAAAACTTATCTCCAAATCTGCGACTTCCTTACTACAGTCCGTAGGTTGGACTCGTGAAACTTGCTTCAACCAATTTTTCTGCATTTTTTTCTTTTTGATCTTCCAACTTTTGAGGTGTTACAAGATCTCACCGTAAATCCGAATAGTCTCAACCGACTAGATCCGATCAACCACTACAAGAAACACCCTAACTAGGATCTGCATAAAAAAGATACAAAAAGTAGTGGTGAGTACATTTAATCAAACATAAGAATTAAACTATGAAACATTTCCATCTACATGCAGAAAAGCCTCATCCCAACATCGGTTCTGCCAATTTATATAAGAAAGGTGAGAGTCAAACAAACACATAAGACTACAAATAATTTCTCATATCAACAGACAAATTACAAAACACACTAAGCTGGCCAATACAATGCAATAAATGATGAAATGATGTGGTGGAATCATGGTTGTCGCACAACTTGTTGTATACACCTTGCCGAGCTTTATCTTCCAGCCAAGGACCCATAGGGAACTCGAAGTCCATATACCAATCTCACAATCTCAATATCACATCAACTTGCCACCTAGCTCGTGGTCAAGGATATATGTAAGGTGTTTCATTTCTATCTCAAAATAGTACTTTTCCATGTCCTCAGATTCACATGATCAGTGGTGTGATGAATGAGAATGAATGCATCACAAGACATAAAATAGAGAGGCATAATCAATTCAACAGGATTTAAAGATTCCAAAGTTCCCAAAGTCAATAAATCATTAAATATAGCACGTTCATGATAGGAAAAAGCGGAAGAATTTATTTGAAATCAATTTTTACCATTTATAAAGCATAGCCTTCTTTTTAAGATGTGATAAAAAATCAGTTAAATCTCCTAACTCAAGCATCCCAAGTAAAAATGTTAAATAAGGAAACTCAACCCTCTCTCAAACAATTCTCAAATGTCACATGTTCTAAAAAGTAATTAAAGACACCACATAAGGCCTCCACACAGGTTAACCATTTCAAATAAGTCTCCACTAGGATAAATAATACAGTCTACACTTACCAACATCTCAATATCATGCTATAATCTTCTTCCATAGTCGAATTCAAAAGAAAAACTAATTACTCAACCCTGTCTAAAGAAGAATAGTCAAACCCATCTTGAAGGTCGAAACTTAAACTAAACAACTCTACTAAAACCTATCTTAACCAAACGATCTCCAAAATGATCCCCAAGATCGCAAGAGTAGAAAGGATACATCAAAAGGAGTCCAACGATACCCATATTGATAATATTAGGAATTAGGAGTAAATTCTTCAAATTATCTCTTCATAATGAACAAGGGTAAAATCAGATTTTTATTTGAAAAACGCGTTTTATAACTCAAGAGGAAATCGTGGTTGAAAAATCCATTAAAATCGAGTTAAAAATGAGCTCCAAATGAAGAAATAACTAATTATATTAACTTTAGGAGAAAATCCCAAAAACCACAGTAAAAATTTAAAGATGTTTTTGGAAGATGAGATTCAAAGAAAACGATATAGAATCGACAAAGGAACTTATTTGCATGACTTTTTCTAAAGAAATTGCTTCCAAAGTCCCCCTCTCAAGCTCCCAATATGAAAAGAATGGTGAAAGAAAGTGAAATGGAAAGAAAGGAGGTTGTTTTGGAAAAAGAAAAGGGGATGTTGACTTTATGTTAACTGCAATGGTGGTTGGCCACGTGTTGACCAAGCATTGACTGAGGTCAACTGCACTAGCACCAGAAATTTTTTTTATCTTATTAAAGTCTTCGAACGGGTCCTCGGGATTCAATTGAAACCCAACAAAAATAAATCAAATATGCTACCCACTAAATTCGATATTTTCGACTCAATGGAATCGTCGGATTTCCAAAAAAAAGATCATTATGACAGAAATACCCTCCCGAACCTCTCTTTAGGACTAAAGCTCAAGATCTTGCGTAAACACCCAAATCTTAACCAAAGGCCTCAGAACCCTAACTAACTACCTTACTAGGCCAAACTCAACGTTACAGATGCAACGAAATTGACAGAATCACCCTCCGATACTCATATCTCAAAATATTGACCAAAGTCAACTATATTAATATAACTTAACTCGAAAGGCTTAAAACACAAAAATCTCACCCGATAGCATCGGGACCACACTAACTTTTCCCGCAAAACAAACTTAGCATAAAATGCTAAGGTAAAGGATAAAATAGTCATTTAACAAATAAAAGCAGTTTCTTAAAAAATAGGTACCACTAAAACACGTGTCCGTCCTCGAACAAAAGTAAAATTTGTACTTGAAGGGGTGAAAACTTGAGTGTATCTATGACGCATGTCATACTCCAACTCCCATGTAGCCCCTTTAATAGGTTGGTGCCTTGGCTGCACTTTCACTAACTCAATATGTTTTTTATCAATGTAACGGCCTAGTATGTCTATCCAAGATGGCAATCGGCTCCTCCTCAAACGACAAATTCTAATCTAAAGAAACTAAATCCCACTAAATCATATGAGAATCATCGTGACAATATAGCTCAATCATTGAGACATGAAACACGGGGTTGACCACTGAAAGGTTTAGAGGCAAGGCCAACATACCTCTCCAAATTTCTCCAAAATCTCAAAAGGACCAATAAACCATAGATTAATCTTCCCTTTATCCACAAACCTCATCATACCCATAGTGGGTGACACCTTAAGCAAAATTAGCTCAAAAATAGCCAAGGATACATCACGAACTCGCCTACCCACATAGCTCTTTTGCCTACTCTGGGTGGTCACAAAGTGTTATTGAATCAACCTCACTCTATCAATAAAGTCTCTCGATAAATTAGTGCCCCAAGGTCGTACTCTTAATGAATCAAACAATCTGATGGGAGATCTACACCTCCACTTATACAAATCCTAAATTAGTGCCATCTGAATGTTGGAATGGCACAGTGGTTATAAGCAAACTCGACAAAAGGTAGGGATTGGTCCCAATGGCCACCAAAGTCCATGATGCAAGCACAAAGCATATTCTCAAGCACATGATTAGTCTACTCGAACAAACCATCGTTCTGACAATGGAAAGTGATACTTAACTCAAGTTTGGTACCTATTTGCTCCTACATAGAACTTTATATATGAGAGGTGAACTGCATATATCTATCACACAAAATGGAAATGGGCATTCTATACAACTGAACAATCTCACAAATATAGATCATGTTCAAGTGCTCTGGGTTATACCTAGCCTTCCTTGGAATGAAATGATCTGACTTGGTCAACCGGTCCACAATCACCCAAACAATGTCATACTTACCCAAAGTCAGGGTAAATCCAACCACAAAGTCTATAATAATGCACTCCCACTTCCACTCAGGAATGGGCATCCTTTGCATCGTATCACCCAAAAATGAAAGGCCTTCATCTATCATAGGCTAGCATAGCAGACAATAACGCGAAATCTTTGATGCTCATACTTCACTTGCTGACAGTTCAAACACTTGTTTACAAAATCTACAATGTCTCTCTTCATACCACATCACCAAGAGTATTGATTCAAATCATGATATATTTTGGCTGCCCCGGGGTGAATAAAGTATTTAGAACCATGAGCATCTTCTAAAATCATAGGAACCCAACCATAAACTTTAGGAACACAAATGCGACCAAGAATCCTCAAAACTCCCTCGGGATTAAGAAAAGTGGACTTAGCTTCACCTTTCAACACTTTGTCTCGTATAACTCTCAACTTGTCATCCTCAAATTGGCTGGCACGAATCTGATCCATCAAAGTAATCTAGCCTCAATGAAGGCTAAAACATAGTGAGGTGTGGAAATATCAAGTCGTACCAACTGTCTAGCCAAAGACTGAACCTCCATCGCCAAAGGTCTCTTTTCTGCCTTTGGAAAGGCTAAGCTACCCATACTGGGTGATTTTTGGCTCAAAGCATCTGCTACCATATTTGCCTAGCCCGGATGATAAAGAATGGTGATGTCATAGTCTTTTAGCATCTACAAACATCTATCCTACCTCATGTTCAAATTCGGCTGAGAAAAGATATATCTAAGGCTAAAATGATTGATAAAGACCTTACAATGTACACCATAGAGATAATGTCTCAAGAACTTCAAAACAAAGACTACCTCCCAATCATGAGTAGGGTAGTTCTTATCATGCACCTTCAACTGCTGATAACCATAGGCTATAACTATGTCCTTGCGTCAATAGACCACCCAAACCTACACATGAAGCATCATAAAATACAACAAATGCCATACCCTTCTCGGGTAATGCTAAAATAGATGTCAAGGTCAATAACTCATTGATCTTCTGAAAGCTTAGTCAACAGAGCTCTAATCGAAGAGAAACTCGAAAAACCTGATGATAATAGCCCACTAACCCGATCAAACTCTGAATCTAAATAGGGGAAGTATGTCTCACCCAATCATGAACCACTGCAACCTTGGGAGGATAAACCATAATCCCTTCATTGGACACCACATGATCAGAGAAAGCCACAAACTCAAGCCATAACTCACACTTAGAGAATTTCGCATACAATTTCTCCTCTCTCAATCTCTGAAGCACAGTCCTCAAATAATGAACATGATCGGCCTCATTCTCAAAATAAACCAAGATATCATCAATAAACATAATCACAAAGGAATCTAAATTAGGTCAAAATACCCAATTCATCAACTCTATAAAAGTGGTTGGAGCATTAGTCAGTCTAAAGGACATGACTACAAACTCATAATACCCATAGCGAGTGCTAAAAGCATTCTTTGAGATATTAGAATCTGGAATTCTCAACTAATAGTAGCCCGACCTCAAGTCAATCTTGGAGAACACTGATGCACCGTGAAGCAGGTCAAACAAATCATTAATGCAAGGAAGAGGATACTTATTCTTGATTGTAGCTTTTTAAAACAGTCAATCGTGATTATGGGCCAAATAAGATAATCACTTATTCTCCAACAAACGATTAGCACAAAGAAAGCATATTACTCCCTTCAGTTATGAACTTGGAGTACCCTTCCACACAAACTGAGGTAAGTTGTGGTAAGCTAATGTCACAGTCTTAGCATAATAATCAAGTATCACACGATAGAGAGATAACTAATGCATACTCAATATCATATCAAAATCAAGCATATCAAGTAAAATCAGGTTTGCCTAAGTCTCACTATTAGGAAATGTCACTATACACCATTGTTACACTCGTCCACCACTAAAGAATCGCCAACCAGGGTAGAGACACTAATAGGTATAGTAAGGGGCTCACACACATTATCAATAACCGCAACAAAATAAGTAGACAAATAAGAGTAGGTAGAGTCAGGATCAAATAATATTGTAGCAGAGCAATCGCAAACTAGGATGGTATCTGTAATCACTGCATCTGAGGCCTCTGCTTCGGATCTACCTAGTATAGCATAACATAGTTTACGATCACAACTAGACTGGAAACCATCACGAGCTACCGGATCCCCACACTTGGTACCATTGGTACCATCTCTAGCACTCTCTGAAATACCTCATACTGTTAGAGCTGGCACAGAACGAGCATCATGTGATCCTGACTAGATAGTAAAAGTAGCACGTCTGGGGCAATCCTTTGCCTTTTGGGCATTCGTTTGCCTTCTGCCCAAACTCCTCACATACAAAACAACCATGAGGAACTCAATCTCGTTGAGAATGACCAGAAGAATATGTACGCTCTCTCTGACTTGAAGATCCATTATGCATACCCTTACTAGTATGACTAGGCCTGGGTCCACCAACACCATTTGTACCCTGAATCGCGGCATGTACTTGTCTACCCTGATAACCTTAAGTGCCCTTACCTGAATAATCTCAACCTCTAGATGAATGACCCATGAACTGACCCTGACGATGAAATCTCTTAGTTCCACCACCCTATCCAGTATGTCAATTACTCTCAATTATCCTACCATGATCAATAATACCATGGAATGTACCACTTCATAACACAAGAGAGGTTGTGGCCTTCTGGAGATAACCGGCAAATCATTTTACCAACATATGGATCCGCTCAAACTCTATAGGGATACTTAATATAGCATAACGAGTCAACTCACAAAAAATGATCCTTGCACTCAGAAACTGATAAGGAACTTACTCTAATCTATTAAATGCATCCCAGCATTGATCGCAAAGGCTATATGGCACAAACTGCTCAAGGAACACTGCAGTAAATTGCTCCTAATCCATCACATGAGAACCAACGGGCTTCCGAGCAATAATCGATCACGACCACTACTTGGACATTCCCATAAACAGATATGAGATGTAAGACACTTCATGTGCCTCTAAGATACCCATTTTAAACAACCTGTCTTAGCACTCACTTAGGAAGTCATAAACATTCTCTCCATATGTACTATCAAACTTAGGAGGTGACAATCTAACGAATCTCTTCTACTAAGCGATCGACATGGTCGCACTAGATGAAATAGTTGGAACTGCAAACCTCGGAGGTGTAGTAAAAGGCACTAAAGAAGAACCTAGAGTGTGAAATCCCATACTAGGACCTTGAACTCTCGGTGCAACTTCAACTATAATAGGAGAACCTTAAGTAAGAACACCAGAAAGAGCAATATCCAATCTAGCCAATAACCTAACGATCAACTCCTGAAGAATCAAAGTATTGAATAGAACAAAATGAGGTTGGGTTGGTCCCCTCTCCGTAGTCTGCTTCCTAGTATCATCATAATTTTCCTAGATTTTAGGCAAGATATGAACTGACTTTTAAGAACATAATTTCCCCTTTCCCATGACATGATAGGTTCATTCGGAACCTTGAAAGTGGCTAATCAGGTCCTACAATCTATGGAAGCATAGCATGCATGAAGCCAATCCATCCCAAGAATAACATCAAAATCTAACATCAAGCTCAACAAGATCAACGTGAGTGACACTATGAGAAACAATAATAGGGCAATTCATATAAACTCTCTTAGCAAAAATTGGCTCACCAATGGGAGTAGAGACATGAAGGGTATTAGAAAGGATTTTGGGACCAACATTAAATCTCATGGCCACAAAAAGAGTAGTAATTGATATGGTAGTACCCGGATCAAGTAAAGCATAAACATCAAGATGAAAGATTTTCAATATACCGGCCACCACATCTGGAGAATCCTCGTGGTCCTGTCTAGTCTAAAGAGCATAGAATATACTTTTCTTTTGGGCACTCGAACCAGAATTACTAGGTTGAACCTGCCTACCATCCCTTTCCTTAGTAGAAAGCAATGAGCAATCTCTCATCATGTGATAACCCTAACCACATTTAAATCAACTATATGTACCGACTAAACACTTGTCATCAAGGTTTTTTCCATACCTAGTACAACTGGGAATCGAAGATCTGTTACCACAATTTCCTCCTTGAGTCTTAGGGTAAGACACCTTATCTTTATTAGACATAGCATCCGGATCATTAGAGTAACCTTTACTGGAAAAATTTTGTCGGAATTGAGGATGACATTGTCCATCAAATCTAGAATGAGAAAAGTCAGCATCACTGATCATTGCCCTCATGGACTCTTTTGCCCTTTCCTTGAGCTTCTCTTCCTCAATTTGTTGGGCATGTATAATTAAACAGTAGATATCCATCTTCTTGATAGACATGGAGGTAAGACACTCTTTGACAACTAAGTTGGAAATATCTGACACAAACTTACTCATCCTTGCTCTAGGGTCGGCAACCATAGTTGGAGCGTACTTAGCCAATTGTGTACACTTCAAAGCACACTTCTTTACACTGATATTCTCTTGAAAGATACTAATGAACTCAAGCACTTTTGCTTCTCTCATTTCAAGACAAAAGAAACAATTAATAAAAGATCCCTTAAATATCTCTCAATCAAAAGGACTCGCATTAATAGCCCTCTCACTTTTCCATTGTTCAAATCAAATTTGAGCAACACCCTTGAGTTGATAGGTGTCGAACTCTGCCTTCTCAATCGTAGAAAATCTCATAACTTCCACTATCTTATACATCTCATCAATGAACTCTTGAGGATCCTCATCAACCTTGGAACCATGGAACTCCGGAGGATTCATCCTAGCAAAGTCGCTTATCCTTGCCACCTCCGTACCCACATTTGGGTTCACATGAGCAATGGCCTCTCTATTTGCGTAGGTTGTCATACCTTCAGTACACACTTGGAAAGCAGCTCAGAATTTGGAATGAGTCACTTGATCGGCCAAATGATCAACTGGAACTTGAGGAACCTCAGGATCCACATTGTCGTTGCACGCATTTCTTCTCATATAAGCCCTTTGAGGGGCCATATACTAGAAAGGAGCAAACATGATTTAGGAGATGGATCTTTATAGAGATAGACTCTATGGAACAACTTTAGAGCAATGAAAGAAGTAAAATTCTTAAACTCTTTATAACTTCTTATTCATAAATGTGGAATGTGTTTCACACTTATGAACAACACTCAACTCAACATGGCTAATCAGACATCCTAGGACTTTGTTCTAAAATCTTGTGCTCTGAATACCAAGTTTGTCACGACCTAAAGTACACCCTAGAAGTGAATGACATATAAGACCCCGAGAATCCCTACACAAGCCACTTGACATACATATACATAATATAATAGACAAAAGTAAAGGATCTCATCTAAGAAAAAAGAGTTTTGAAGGGTTAAAAGCGGAATTTATCATGGTCTTGACAAGCCATGTAGTACATCAAAAGAAGTGGTCGGGACGTAACCCGTACACCATGTACAAAATCCAAAGAACTAAAGCATAGGGAAATCAAAGTAAAGATTTATTTGTCTTCGGAACATGAGGTCTCACCAACTCTATGAACTCCAAATGATCACCAACTAGCCACTCATGTAGGGAGAGGAAGCGTCACACCCTACATTAGTGAAAAAATGTAGGCACAAGTATAAATTAGTACATGGAATGTACTATG